GCCTGGGTTAGAGGGCAAGACCTCTCAAAGACAAATAACAAAAAGAAATATATTTTTTGCTTGTGGTACCGGAGATTGAACCCAGTGCATGCTAGGCAAACACTAAACCACAGAGCTACACCCCAACTCCCATGCATATTTGTGTAGGGGATCTGGGGAATGGAAGCAGGACAGAGACATGCAAAAGCATGAAGACAGGTCTTGCTATGTAGCCCAGGATGACAATGAACTCTTGATTTTCCTGCCTCTGGAGAGCTGGGAGTAGATAGGTAGAATTGCAGTTGGTTTCAATAATCTTTTCAGTCCTTTTCCTTTCTCTCTATTTCCTTTTTTTTGTGGTGCTAGGGACAGAACCCATGCCAGGCAATCACTCTGCCACTGAGCTATTTCCCTAGCCATGAACAGATTTTTAATTTAAAGGAGATCAGAGGAAAAGATTAAACATGCAAAAAAAGAATGAAAGTGCACTTAGTGGCCTTGGAACCTCAGTAAAATGAGAAAAGAAAAATAGTAACAAGCAGAGTTTCTGGTCAAGGATTCTAAGTTTATACCCTGCCAAATGGAAAATTGTTTTCCAATATCTCTTCTCCTAAAACGAAAATCTTTCTGACAGCTGCAAAATTTTTTCTCATGAACAATACAAGAGAGAGAATGCCTTACATAACAGCTGCAAGAGGCAAACATTCTATTTTTAGGACAACTAGCTTTATATGTTAATTTAAAGTCGTATGCAAAACCATCCTCAAACATAAATGGGCTAAATCAGCTAATGAACATGTATGGCTAAACAAACTAGAAGAAAACTTAGGATCCAGACAGAATCATGAGTATTATACTAGGGGTGGAAAAGGAGGAAGGAAATAAGCTGGATAAATTAAATGCTGTATACTACCAAAAAACAAATTTGAAGATGGTATGGGGCCTGTAAAAGGAAAGAGAAAATGAAAAGTAGCAGAATAGAATAAACAATGTCTTTTGAGCAAACAATGATATTTGATTGGCTATCCAGAAAAGAAAGGATTTAAACAAGCTGGGCACTGTGTCTGTAGTTCCCAGCTACTTGGGAGGAGAATTACTTGAACCCAGGAGTTTGAGACCAGCTTGGGCAACATACTAAGACCTTGTCTCAAAAAAAAAAAAAAAAAAAAAATTCACATAAAAGATGGCTCTACCATCTCAGAAACTGACTCAATTTCTATTTGACAAACACAAGAAAAACAAAACATTCCATGAAACTTAATACACTGTATGAAAATATACAAACTCATCTTCTGATGGACATACTAATCCTGACTTTCTCAACTGCCTTCCTGAGACAGGGATGTCATCATTTTGTAAAGCTCTAAGAAGGCCAACATGGAACACAGTTTGATTTGGATAAACCCAGACTCTCTCTGCAACCAGGCACTGCGTACACTATTTTGATAGGAGGCATATGGACTGGCACTGAAACAATACACATATGAGCAAATTTAGGAGCTGTACATAGCAAAACAGTATTCAATTCATGTCGACAGCCACATCGAAACTAATTGCGAGGACATAACTAGGCAAGGGGCACATGAAGGGATCGTATAATCCTGGCTAGGTAGTATGGAAATATACTTCCCTTAATCATCTCAATGAAATAGTCTTTTATAACTCCTTTCTCGGTAGGTAAAAGTCAGCTAACTTCTGACATTAAGCGTATGTATAGAATGGATAGGCGAGGGGATCTTGACCAAGTTTCATTTCTAACTTTCTTTGCCTGAACCACTCAGGAAAAAAAGCCATTTTATTTTTGAATTGTACCAAAATAAGGCTATTTCCCAGTGATAAAATACCCTGTGGGTGAAAACTCCAAGTTTGTTTTGTACACTTCTCCTAAGCATCTGCTTCAACTCTGATTAGAAACTGACATTGACTTCTGTGTCTGGGCCCCAGTGATTGAACTACATGACTTAGGTGACTTCCACCACTGTGAGAGGCCACTACTTTACTACCTTATCCCATAATTCCTTTGTTATAAGATTCCACTAAAGATGCCTCACAATTTTATTAAATGTAGATGAAAAATTTTCCATGCATTCTAGTGAAATTGCACTAAAAGTTGCACATACCTACTGATTTAGTTGACACAAAATGAAATGTTGTAACCCACAATTGCTGGCAGTTGTCATGCAAGAATGTAACTTTATCTCAGATAAAAAGTCTCAATATAATTTCCATTTGAAAAAGACTACTTTGGGGTTATTTTCACACATGCTATTGTGAAATGGCAATCAGTAGTAGTCCACTGGAATGAGAACATTAGGAAGTAAGTTACTTCATATAAATGATGTCACTAGCTCATTTACACAGAGTATGCATTCAGTTAGCTACGCATTGAGGTTATGCCTTAAGTAAGTTGCTTATGGATCTCATCTAGTGAAATTCTGTATTTAACAAATGAAATTATTTCATCCACATGCAGACTGGATAACAAAGATGTTGGAAAGTTACTTAAGATGTAAACGTGTGGCAAAAATTTCTCTACAGCTATGTAGTTTCAGTTACCCTCACTTTCCAACAACTAATTTCAGTTAGGTTTAATGACAAGGTCTACTGAAACCTTTGTGGATAAACTGGAAATAAAATGTAGTAGGACAGACAAGCATAAGAAAAAAAAATTCACTGATATTCCCAATAGACATTAGAAGTGGAATTTTAAGGAGCAGGTACTTTTTTTTATAGGATTCTAAAATAGGCAGGGGTTATATATGATCATATTTGTTAACATTTTAACTATGAATCAACTAGGCTAATTTGAAGATTACTTTTGAATGAATTGAATATACCACAAAAGCAGAAAATTAAAAACCCAATTAGAATGCTATCAAAGAGATAAAATAAAAGGTAATTATACTAAAACATAAAGGAGTAGAAATAATGTTAGATGACAAGTTTTATGAGTGAGAATGTCATTTCAAACCAATTTATTTTGTTGCTTCATAAGAAAGAGCATTCGTAAAGCAGAGTAGTCAGCATACAATCACAATGCTGCAGGACATGGGAAAAATCACAGGGAGAATGGGACAACAAACGGTTCAAATCCAGAAATATACTCCAGAGAAATAGGAACAGAGTGCAGTTCCTACAGTGGGGTTATTGGTTGAGGCAGTCCATTCATGATGTTACTTACAACAGTGGAATGGAAACATTTTAGTTGAAACTGGATACTTTCAAGTACTTGTTTTGGTAAATTGCAACTAGCTTCACAAATCCTAATCTCATTAATCAACACTGGAGTTTAAAGTTTAGCATTAAGAAAGAAACTGTTTATTATACATATATTACCATGGATTATTTTGAAGGGAATTGTTTATTTCTTCAAAGATATTTGCAATCTTTTCAGTTTTAAAATTTTCAAATGTACTATGGCATAGGTGGTGATTCAAGGAAAAAGTAAATTGATATTTAGAAAGTTCGCATTGGAGAAATGGCTAGACGGGTGGATGGATAAAGTTGAGGACACAAGTTCTAGTGAAAGCTAAAGCCTAAAATCTAAACGATAACATCAAAAGGGTGTATTCCTGATAGGCTAAAACTAGTAATTACCTTATTGAAGCAGCTGAAGCAATAAACAATCACTTATATATTCATATGTATAAGAAACCTTAGGCTCAAAAATATACATGTTTTAAAACGGAAATCTAAGGCACACAAAACACTAAAACAAGTCAATGAAATACCCTATTTTACATATTCAAGAAGCAGAAATCTACTTGTACAAAAGATGATGGTCTTTCAATGAACATTTCATTATTTACAATCCCTTCATATTCCTTTACTTGGATTTTTAGTCAAAAGCTTTAAACTGATACTTTGCACCATATATTATTTTAATAAGTTAAGAACTTGCTGGAACTGTTTGAGTTTGCACCAAAGTTGTGTGTTAGCAGTTCTGGGCTTCCTATGGCATTTGCAAGGGAGAAGCACCATTAGGTTTTCTATACTCCCTAAGAATCTGACACTTTGAATGTTATAGCACCTCTGCAATTTAACAGGATCAAGTATTTCATGGAAGGTTCTTTTTGTTTTAAACATTGTTTGGGTAAATCCATTTTCTTTTGCTATAAAAAAAGGTCAATAAAACAATGGAAAAACTAAAATAAATGGAATGCCTACTTTTTCCTATTACCTAGAACGTAGGCATTCCCATCTTCCCAAATCCAACAGGTCAAGATTAATGGCTAAATGAGCCCTCGAAGCCATGTTTATAGTATCACTAGAACAATCTGACTGGGGGCCAAAGAAGATTTCTATGGGATTTAAAAAATTTTTCTATGTTAGAATGGATTTCAAAATGAAAAAGGCAATTTGGGATGGGTAGGCTTCTGGTTGCTTAATTTTTATAATTTTAATCACCATGTAACATTAGAAGCATTTGACTCTTCTAAATACCATTTTGTTCCATCTCCTGGAAACATCTTAAATGGGGTATAGTGAAAAGGCTGGGATGAAAATAATTTTGAGACCACTGTTGCTCAGTCAAACAGAAGAGAGCAATCTTTGTTCAGTCTCTCCCCACATACACCAAAAAAAATGTTAATTGTTATTGGTGATGTTTCCCAACTCCAACTGTAGAGATTTAACTATTTTATATAATTAGCTAATATGTAATGGGAAAGGACACATTAAAAGAATATAAACCATGTATATGATTTGAATACATACTGCAGTTAACAAGATGGAACTCTACACAGCAAGAATAAATGATTTCTCTTGTATGCAAATATGCACAAACAATAGACAATAGGATTCTTATACTATACTATTTCAAGTTACTTTTAAAAATAGAAAGTGCTTTTAAAATATATATTTACAGTATATGAACAGCCTCCAACCATTACTAATAATAATGAATTATTTTATACAGGAGAAATATTTTCAGAGAAAGAAAGCATTTCATTGGTCGATTTCAAAAGGATATGCCAATTTTCTAGCAATGATTGGAAGATGTTAGAATAATGGCACCTTGAAATAAAAATTCAGCTTATGTTTTACTGTGTTGATGTGGTAAAGCACCAAGAGCTGTGTAGAGTTAACACTGTGTGTTTTGATTTTACATCACAGAACAGGAACCTGTTAAAATCCTCTTGTTTCATAGTAAACAGACTTAATTTAAAGCACCAAACTGAGTGATTCTATCAATGTTAACACCTAACCAAAACATTTCTTTATGTATTTAAAACTATAAAACTTTTTATTTTTGCTTAAAATGTGCACCTTCTACCAATTTTCAAAATATAGTCACAGTTAAGTACCCACCCCATTTTTTAAATTTTTACCTCTGACTGGAAATGGGTGAGATGAAGATAGAGTGAACGACACCATGACTTTCTTTTAACAGCACCTTGAAAAAATACACTGCACTAGCAGAGGCATTAAGGAGGGGAGAAAAGCCTTCAGACCCAATGGTTGTAGGGCCCCGCCACTTGTGTGAGTGCATAAGGGGACACGGTGACAATGTTGTCATGGGTTAACGTTAATGCTTTATGGGAAGGAATTTGGTTCAATTCATTTCCTGGTGGGGGCTGCCCACCACCCTCCATAGCTGCCTGGTCTTTCTGCTCTAAGGCCTTCAATCTCTTATTCCTAGCTTCTTTAGCTTCAAACTTAATCCTGTTGAGTTCGAAACCATGTTGGGGCAAGTTTAGGTTTTTGTGCTGGTAAAATACAAGGGAGAGGCGAGCGGGGTGACAGCGGTTTGGGTTCAAGACAGGAGTGGTGGCATGAAGCTCTCGGCGTGCACACTCAATCAAGATTGAGCCATGAGTGGGTGCTATGGCCACCCCACCAATGTTGGGATCCAAGAAGTTGGGCTCATCGTCTGACCAGTACTCTTCAACGTGGGCCACTCTGTCCTCTGCAGGAGACAGGGCGTCCTCTGACAGGGGATCATCTGACATAGGCTCATCTGCTTCAGAATGCTGCTCATCCTCTTCCCCTACACAGGGAGCCAGGCCTGCAGGAAAAGCAAGGTCTGGGAGTTGCTGGGCTGGCACACAACAAGGGAGCTGCCCAGATAGACCAGTGGCAGGCTCAGAGGAAGCAAGGGGCTCAGTTCCTGGAGGAGACAGGGTGGGAGGAGGAGCCATGTCACCAGGCTGGACAGCACCAGAGCATTCACCAGCAGCTGCATTAGCACCAGAAGGCATTGTGCAGGGGTAGATGCCACTTCTTTCTGAGATCCCAGGTGAGGCTGCTTTATTGCACCTCACTGGAGTCGTTTTCATGGATGCTGCCTGCAGAGGCCAGAAGGCTGGACACAGGTTTGCCTCTTTCACTGGGAGAGGAGTGCAGGGGACCGAAGAGCAGCTTTTAGTGTTCTCTGTACCTTGGAAGATAAAATGAGGTTTAGTTTTACTTTTTATGGTAGCTTACAGTGTCTCACTATTGATCTCTAACAGAAAGAACCAACAATGTGAAGATAAATATAACTTTTTCATATAATGACTTTTCTTCAAGAATTCTTGGGCTGGAGTTTGGCTCAAGAAGTAGAACACCTGCCAAGCAAGCTCTGAGTTCAAACCCCAGTACTGCCAAAAACAAAACGAAACAAAACAAAACACACACACACACACACACACACACACACACACACACACACCAATTTCATCTTTGCTTCTTTACCACTAAGTAGGTAGATCGTTACTACTTCACTGGTCTCATTAGTAAGTATAGGCAACTTACCCTGTAATCATTACACAAGTCTAAAATGGAAATATTTTTATTAAAAGATATTCTACCTATTTTGAAGTTATTTTTTGGAGGAATACAAAAGGAGCAAAAGATGAAAAGTAAAGCAGCAATTTTCTGAAATGATTAACAATTTAACACAGCTTTGTTTTCTATAGATCTGCAATTCTCAGATGATACAACCTGGTGCTATGACAGTTCTTGTTACTCAAGAGAACTTACAAGCAAGAATCAAGCCATCACATGAGGAAACTGATGGAGCTATGTGTGGTGGCATCTCTCATTACAGAAGTAAAACTGTGACTGCAGGGAAGGAATGAGAAGAAAGGATTTTTAGAAAACTGTGTTGTTAAATGACCCGAACAATGTATGCACATGTGAATAAATGATTAAAAAAAAAAAAAAAGAAAATTTTGTTGTTGCTGCACTGGGGATTGAACCCAGGGTCTCAAACAAGCCAGGCAAAGTGCTCTGCCAGGCCTTCTGGTTTTGTATTTTGTTTGTCAAACAAAATCTTAACTAACTTTTCCCAGGTTGGCCTCAAAGTAGCTGGAGTTGAATGCAGGTACCACCATGCTGGGCTGGATAAATCTGTTAAAAAAAAAAAAATCAACAACACGTCCTTGCCTTGTATGTGCAAGATCTGATGTTCAGTCTGCAGCATCATGAGGTGGGGGGAAAGACAGTCAAAAGAGAGTTGCAAGTAATTGCAATCAGGAAAGGCACATGAAAAATGACATCATGGAATATAATGATATAAGAAACATATCATTAAAAATTGAGTATCAAGCTGGGCGCCAGTGGCTCATGCCTGTAATCCTAGGAAAAAAGCCATCACAAAAAAGGACTGGTAGAGTGGCTCAAGGTGAAGACCCCGAGTTCAAAGAGCAGTACTGCAAAAAAGAAAAAAGAAAAAAAAAGTCATTTTGGTTTTTTTAGGGCCTCTTGCAAGACTATATTAATTTTAAGACAAAACTGTGCAGTCCTATGAAAATGACAGAATTTTGATAGAATTACAGTGAATATGTAGATCATCAGTAAAACAAGGCAGTGATAACCAAGAAGGAATAGTAATTCTCCCCCACCTTGACCTAAATAGTTCTCTCTACTGGATTTGTCCCATCATTATATAAATGCCTGCATGAACCTGACACTTCCTTCATCTTTCTTTCTCACAAATATAAAAATAAAGGAAGCTAGAGAATACCTGCAAAAAAATTTTCTGTAGGAATGCTGAGGATGGAATCCAGGGCCTGCCAAATGCTAAGCACATTCTTTATCTCTGTCCTACTCTGGCAGCCTTACTCTGTAATTCTAAATTTGAAGATCAGTATAATTCATGATCTATTTTTTCTATAGGCTCCATAGAGAAATGGCTGATTTTAGATATGGGGCAGAGGCAGAATTATATAAGATAAGGCTGGAACATCCTGTGTAACAGAAGCTAAGAAAGCTAAAGAACCATGATTATGACAAAAAAAAAAAAAAAAAAAAAATCCCACAATGCCAGCTTGAGTGGTTTGTACAAACCAAAGATGGGAACATTTGAAAAATCTGAAGCATTTTAAAACAGTGGGGAGTGGGGTGGATTGGGGAGGTGGATCAAGTGGTAGAGATGCCCCTGCAGAACAAGCAGAACGCCCTGAATACAAACTCTGATAAAAAAATTTTTGTACAGGGTAAAGAGTGGCTCAAGTAGTAAAAGTGTCTGCCTAGCTAGTGTGAAGCCCTGAGTTCAAACCCCAGTAAAAATAAAAGTGTTATGGAAAAAAACCAAAAACCAAAAAAACTTTAGTGAGGGGAAAAGCCCAACATATAGGCATTGAAATGTAAACTGTTAAAACATTTCTGAGCTGAAAATCATAAATTCTGGAAGATACATGGGAAGCAGTTAGTATCTGGAAAAATGATGACTGACCCCTCAGAATTGCTTAATCAATGAATGAGGTTGACAATATGACTCAATCAATATGAACATCACAAAAGGAATCTATAAAGAAATGAATTGTGCAAATCACTGGTGCTATTCTCTTTATGGTATTAAAAAATAAAGTGAAACTGAATTGGATGAAAGCAGGGTGCTGGAGGCTCAAACCTGTAATCCTATTTGGGAGGCTGAGATCAGGGGAATCTCGGATTGAGGTCCATCTCCAAAATAACCAGAGTGAAAAAGACTGGAGGCACGGCTCGAGCAGTACAGTGCCTGCTTTGTAAGCACAAAGTCCACTCACACCAAGAAAAGAAAAAATATCTAGTGTAAATCTAATCAAATTATGTATATCTAATTATATCTACAGTTCCAAATCTACTCTTCCTTCCCCAGGCTTCATCAGCATCCTTCCAGGTTCCTCTGGTCAATAACATTGGGACAAGTACTTATTGTCTTATACTCCATATTTAACCTATCAGTAATCCTGGTCACTCTATCTTAAAAAAAAAAAAAGAAAGAAAAAAACATAGGGGTTGGGGATTTAGCTCAGTGGAAGAGCGCTTGCCTGGCAAGTGCAAGGCTCTGAGTTCGGTCCCCAGCACTGAAAAAAAAAAAAAAAAAAAGAAAAGAAAACAACATAACCAGTCACCTCTCATGTGCTCCCCATTAGCTTAGCCACTATTCTCCATTCTCTCCCAAGTCATTAGGATAGATTCTTCATAACCTCCCTATTTTTGTATCCTCTGCCTCCTCAATTCTGTTTCAACCCAGTAACCAGAGATTTCCATTTCAGACCTATCACATCTTTGGTACATTCTAAAATCTCTAGTAACATTCCTCTGGCTCTCAAAACGTAGTCTTTACAAGGGTCTAAGCTCACTCATCCCCTTACCTCTCGGACCTCATCTCCTATCATTTTCATTTCACTGTTGGCTCTATCCATGCTGGCTCCTTTGCCTAGTTCATATACTGAAGATACAAGAATGCTAGTTCTCCAAACAGTGAAACCCTGTCTCAAAAAACCAAAGCAAAACAAAACTACAGAGGAGGCAGAAATACGAGGATTTTAAGAACGTATCTGGAAAAAAAATGGTGGATATGGTAATCCATCCTTGTAATCCCAGCTACTAGCTGAGAAAAAAGTGTGAGACCTCATATGAAAAAGAAGGCACAAAGCACTGGGGACATGGCTAAAGCAGTGGAGGAAGCCCTAGCCCCTCAGGGGAACCCATAGGAGCTTTCCTTCATTTTAAATGAAGCCAGAAATAAAAAGATCCTCAAATAGTGATGGGTCATATTTATTGATTTCTTAATTTTAAACTATAATAATCAGAACAAATGAGATTAAAGAATGAGGAGTCAACCCAGCGCCTAATCCTAGCTACTTAGGAGGCAGAGATCAGGAGGATCATAGTTGGAAACCAGCTTATCTAGAAAAACCCATCACAAAAAAGGGTTGGTGGAGTGGCTCAAGATGTAGGCCCTAAATTCAAAGCCTAGTCCTCAATAAATAAATAAATAAATGAAAACAAACAAACAAAAAGATACGGAATATTTCAAACATATACAATGAAATGAGTATAATGAACCCCCATGTACCTCACCCAGATGTAACAGACAACACTCTGAGGTTCCCAGCAATGCTATTTTACAAGTAAATGGAAGCTTTCGAATTAAAATAATAGTAGTAGTGATAATAATAATAATAATAAAGGCTGAGGGTGCGGTTCAAGTGCTAGAGTGCCTGCCTTGCAAATGCGAGGTCCTGAGAACAAACCCCAGTACCACCAAAACATCCGTTAAATACAGTAGTACTTTCTTAAGTTAAAAATGAGTCAGTATCTCTGCACAATGCCTCAAAGATGGCACAAAGGTCAAGGAGAGGAGAAAAAGTTCTGCCAATGAAGGGAGGAGCCCTTACTGGTGTTTCCTGAGGCCGAGGGATTCTTCCTCTTGAGTTGCTTCTTCTCCACAGCTCTTATCTTCCGATCCAGAACCTCGGTCATCATGGCCGACCTCTTCTTCCCACATCTGGGGACCGGCTGGGTAAAGCGGGTTCTCTTCTTGCGGGAAGGCTGCAGGACCTGAATGGCCCCGGACCTGATCTTCTCCTCCATCCCTTCCCTGGAGCCGAACTCATCAGTGTCCGCCAGTCTGTACAGCGGGAGGACGTGGAGCTGCTCATCCTCTGGGACTACGCCCAGGGAGCGGTTGTCTTCGCGGGTTAGAGTACACACCTGCAGGAGGAACGCGGGAACAGCGGGAAGGAGATGCAGCATCCGCGGCGCCATGGCAACCATTTATTTCCGACTGGCTGCTGCTGGTGCATTAATTTTGGATAGTTTTTCTAGCAACCCACCAAAGCGATTCAATTTTAGTGGCTATTCAGTTTTTTTGCAAACAGACAAGTGTAATTTTGAGATGAGTTCTTTTAAATATAAAAATGTTGTACATTTGGGGATGGAAGTATGGCTCAAGTGGTAGAACACCTACTTGCTTTGCAAGTGTAAGGTCCTAGGTTCAAACCCCAGTCTCACCATAAAAAAAAGTTGTGCATTTATGTATTTCTTTTTTCTTTCCTTATTTAATTTTTTTAAAGACAGGATCTGACAGCAAACATGGAGGTTGCCTCAGCCTCCTAAGTGCTGAGACTATAGGTGTGTACCACTACTTGGAACTAATAGCTTTGATTTGAAGCCTTCTTGTTACATTCTGTCTCAATTCATCATGTAAGTTAAGGAACAGTTTTTAAACTGTATTTACTACATTCACATTAAATATTAGCTATTAAAAATATGACTGAGCAAATTGGTCATGCCTGTAATTCCAGCTATTCAGTAGGCAGATAGAGAGAGGAAAAGAGGATGGTGGTTGGAGGATAGCATGAGGAAAACATCAGGGAGATCCCATCTCAAAAAATAAGCTGGGTAAAATAGCTCGCATCTGAAATCCCAAATAGACAGGAGGAGTGTAGCTGGATGACGGGGCAAAAACTCAATTTCTTACCCAAAAAAGGAATGGGGTAGGGAGAGTGTAGTCTTTCAAGTGATAGAGTGCCTGCCTACTAAGTTAAAACCCCAGTACTGCCCACTCCCTAAAGAAGATTTAAATGAGGTCAGATTTTCTTTCAGCAGAGGGCTTAATTACCATGAATTATTCTAATTTGCTGGAGTTTCCTTAGGATTATTTTTTCCACTCATGATACCAAGCAGTATTTAGTTACAGAGGGTTTTCTATTCTTGAAAAAAATAAAACAAAACTGATTTTTAACAAGTTGCACATCTTAAAAAAAGTTTTAAAAAATCATGTTTTATTATAGAACATTTAGAATGTACAGACAAAATTTTTATTTTTTGGTGGTACTGGAGTTTGACAGACAGTATTTTTAATGAATTTAAATAACGTCACTGAAATATAAGATCTGAAGGTTAAATTTAAAAATTATTGCAGAGTTCTGGAGGTTTAGCTCAACTGGTAGAATGCCTGCCTAGCAAGCATGAAGACTTGACTTCAAGCACTGAGTTCAAAAAAATTAAATAAAAATTGTTGCAAACCATTTGACTTTGCTGATATACATGAGAACTTCTACAATTTCTTTTCAAAATGCTTTTACTAAGAGCTAAGGGAAATCACTAAGTTCAGATTTTTCACACTTCATACCAGTTGAATAAGATCAAAGCATATACTAAAAACAAAGCCAAAGCAAGCAAAATGCCTAGCACAATTCCCCACAAAATACCTGGCAGTCCACCTAGCAAAAAGAAACAACTAGCTTGCCCAATTGTTTTCATTATTATTTGGTGGTACTAGGGCTTGAACGCCGGGCCTCGTGCTTGCTTGGTAAGCATTCTAGCTTGCTAATTTTTTTTTTTTTTTTACAAATCAGCATTTCACAGAATTGTAATTTATGTAAATCATGTATTTCTTAGGGAAAATGCCATAAATACATAATTCAAGCATGTCAACAAAATATCTAATATTGATTCTAACACTGAGAAATACATTGACAGTAAGTTTAACAAAAATACCACCCATGTATACACTTAACCTTCACAGCAGGTAGACAGTGGTCACGCAAGAGGCCCTGTGTGGTCCAGGCTGGCCTAAGATGTAGTAGTGAGAGAACTTTCAGACCAGCAAGCTCCTCAGTACATACCACAGTGCTCCCGTTATTCATGTTGTGAATGTCCCTGTGGGAGTGAGCACAGAAGTCCAGGCAAGCAGTGACACCAGAGAAAGGACGACCATTCTTGGTACCGAGGCGACAAGCTTGGGCAACATGTTCATATTCCACCTAAAAAATGTATAAGACACATTATTTAATTTTTATTATTATGAAGTTTTATTAGGATATTATATGGGGGGATTCGTAGTGACAATTCGGATTCGATTTACACTGTACATTATTTGCATTGCCTCCACAGTGATAGTGATCAAACCCAAGGGCTCCCACATGGCAAGTGATCCACCAGTGGAAACATCCCCACATGTTCTGGTAGAGGATCACGGCTTGAAGCAAGCCCAGCAAATAGTACAAGTATAAGTCCCTGAGTTCAAATCCCAGTACCACAAAAATAAACAACAAAAAAACCCCACTAAACTAAAAATTGATTCCTAACAAAAGGTCTGAAATGAATTCTACTTTGTAACTCCTGATCTTTCTGCGATGTCAGTGCATTGCTGTGGTAAAAAAGACCTTAACAGCACATATGAATAAAATTAAAAAAAAAAAACAAAAAAACCTTAACACATAGATGAAAATTAAAATCATGGATTTGACGTGGAAAGGCAGAGAGAGGCCCCTAATGCCTAATGGTGATGGATAAAACAAGTCACATAAATTGGAAAACAGAAGAATGAAAGCAAATTAATCAGATATGCAGCATTTTAAATGTCTATGAAGGATAGACACACACTTCATGAGTCATTACAGAAAGCAAATTCATGTTTTTATTTTGTGATTAAATTTATTTAATTTTTTATTATTATAAATTTTTATTAGGATATTATATGGGAGGGATTTGTAGTGACAGTTCTGATTAGACTTACACTGTATATTATTTGCATTGCCTCCACAGTAATAGTGATCAAACCCAAGGGCTCCCACATGACAAGTGATCCACCAGTGGAAATATCCCCAGATAATGAGTGTATTTAAAATGAAAAGGTGGAGCTCAGTGAAGTGTATGCCTGTAGTCCCAGCTACTCCAGAGACTAAACTAATAGGATTGCTTGAGCCCAGAAGATGGAGGCCAGCCTGAGACTGCATTGAGGGAAAAAAAAAAAAAGCAGGAGAGGACAGTTGAGGAAAAAGAGATCTTACCTGAAAAAAATAACTAAACCAAAAAGCATTGGGGGAGTGGCTCAATTGGTAGAGCAAATGCCTAGCAAGCATGAGACCCTGACTTTAAACTCCATTATCACCAAAAAGATACCCAATGAAAAAGTATACATATCAAAGTTCAAATGTGAACCTTTTCTATTAGTAAGGACTTTGCTGATACAGAAATAGAACCATGCTTCAGATCACTAGACTAGTTTCTAATTCATACCTGATTTTGGTAAGCAACTGGGGCAAGCTGCATATAGATTGGAGCTAATTCTGTAGCCAAACTCTGCAAATTATCTTCAAGTTTTTTTTCCTATAAGGAAAAAAAAAAAGCAGTCTATAAGGGTTACTTTAGAAGGACTTCCTATTACAGTTTAAGGCATAAAATTCCATTATAAATAACTGCTGATGACACACAATACCATGATAAATCTAATATGGATAAAAATACATAGACACTCAGGAGGCTGAGGCAGGAGGACTGTGAGTTCAGGAACAGCCTGGCTACACAATGAGATCCTATCTCAAAAAAAGTTCTGCTATCATTATGCTATCATAAAGAAGGAAGAAGGGAAGGAACACTCTGGAAATATGAATAGTGGAAAGGCCAAAATGAGACTTGATAAATGAATAGTCACATGTAATGATAACAGTTGAAAGGGGATTGAAAACAAGAATGAAACAGGAACTGAAGAAGGCCAATGAGTTCTCGTAGGTGAAAGTGGCAGAAACAGACTCAACACCCTCATAAGTCAGTTTATGTCCAGTGTCTAAGAAATTATTAAAAGCCAAAGCCACTATGCAGAACTCATTTCTGTGGTGGTTTTTAACATGCCTCAGTACTGTAAAGCATCAACGGTACACCACCAGTGATGACCTATTGATTTTTGTTGATTCTTTCATTACATAAGGGACTGTTTCTAGATTGTTTTGTTTATCTGTCAACTTATGGTTTGTTGTTTATTGGGTGCTGGTGGCTCTTGCCTATAATCCTAGCTACTCAGGAGACAGAGATCAGGAGGATCTCAGTTTGAAGCCAGCCCAGGTAAACAGTTGGAGAGACCCTATCTCAAAAATATCCATCACAAAAAAAGGTCAAAATTCACCAATATTCTCATGTCATTTCATTAAACTTCATAGCAATATCTACTATATTATTGATGCAAGCTCCAAAATAACCAAACCAAAATGGGCTGGAGGTGTGGCTCAAGTGGCAGAGTGCCTGCTTTGCAAGACTGAAAACCTGAGTTCAAACCCCAGCCCCACTAAAAAAGTTTTATTGCTGTTTTAGTGAAATAGTTACAAAATGCTAAATAATTTCAATTATTTCTTTAAACAGACCATTAGGGAGTAATTCTATGCTGCTTAGGTTATACTAACCATATTACATATACAGTTGGATATTATGTGTTTTCAATTTATCTTGCACTATCTCAAAAAAATTTTTCTATCACCACCATTACTACTCACACTTTTTTTTGAATGTGTACTTTCAACACAGGTTTTTGGATAAGATTGAGAGTAGTGTTTTCCAACCTGTGGGGCATGACTTTTGGGGGGTAGTGAAGTCAATGGAGCACCTGCCTTGCTAGTGTGAGGCCCTAGGTTCAAACCCCAGTGCCTCCTAAAACAAAACAAACAAACAAAAAATCTGTGAAATTTAATAAAAAACACTGTAACGCATCCTTAGGAGTAAGTATCTCAATATTAACATAGAAATTTTTTTCTTTCTTACATGTGATCACATTATTAATAATTGCTTTCTGATAATTTTACTTTATTTCTTCATAGAGTAAATGTATGTGTACAGTGTTTTGCAATGTAAAATATATTTAAGTATTGGTCACAGCTCAATGTTTGGGAAACACCGATCTTTGACTTAAAAAAAAGTGGGCCTTCACCCAAACAAAGCACAAAACATTACTGCATTTTGTTCCTATAGAGCCACAAACCCTCCCACTGCCTACCCATTCCCAGGATATTAAGAATAAAGATTTGTACCTACTTTTAAATTTTAAAATAAAAAGAAAAATAGAAGCAGAAAAAAAGAAAAGAAGAACTAGACTTATTTAAACTTAATAGCAAATCGACTCATTCCTTTGCTCACCATGGCCTTGTGTTCAGGACAGATTCGTTCTGGTTTAAAACATTTTCTTTTTCGATTAGATCCTCTAGAAATTCTTTCATAGTAGGCCTGTGGGTAGTGTTGATAGAAGTCTTTAATTTATTTAGAATTTTAAACTACTCACCTACATATATAAAAAATATATATATTATGTATAGTATTTTGTTACATTTGAGTATTTAATTTTGTGAGTGTTTCAAAAATTGTAAAGGGAATTCACTGTGTTAATTGAAGAGTAAAAAGGATACTTACATGTAAGGGCATGCTTGGATCAATTCTAAATCTTCTGGGGCTTGGGCTTCTACCAAATTTGCATCCATTGAAATACATGCTCCATGAGCAGCCAAAAGAGAAGGAAGCGCCACAGGTCTCGGGATTAGTGCCTTGACATATACAGGTCCGACTGTAAGATAACAATTGCAAGGATGTCAACTGGTAGAGCAGGACAGTGCTCAGTGAGAACAGGACAGGGTCACACAACCTTAGAAATGCACAATTGAACTTTCAAATGATCAAGATTGTAAAGCCAATGACAAACTACTCAAATCTAAAAAATCCATCACTTTGTTTGATTTGAGGCCTGCATTTATTACCATCAGAGATGAAAATAATCACTACTGGAATAACTCAAGTGGTAGAATGACTACATAGCAAGTGTGAAGTTCTAATCCCAGCATCAAATTATCACGCCTGTAAAACTAGCTACTTGGAAAGATTTCAGGCAAATAGTTCCCATCAGCAAGCTAGTCAGAGCAAAATGGACCAGAGGTGTGGTGCAAGCGGCAGTTCGCCTGCTTTGTAAGATCTCCAATCTCTCCCCCGACCACAAAAATAACAAAAACAAATAAATGAAATGAAAATTAGCCTGTCTTTCATTTATTTAGATTTTTACATTCTATCAAAAAAGGAGAGTATGGTTGGCAGAGTGGTTCAAGTAGTAGAGTGCCTGCCTAAGCAAGCCCTGAGTTCAAACCTAGGTGCCACCAAAAAAAAAAAAAAAAAAAAAAAAAAAAAAGACAATACACATATTGAATGTAAATTGAGACTTTATGACAGTCTTTATGGGAATAATAGAACAGAATGACTGTTTTATTCAGTAAGTTTTCAAGTACAACATGCTGGGTGCTGGTGGCTCATGCCCGTAATCCTAACTACTCAGGAGGCAGAAATCAGGATGATTGCAGTTCAAAGCCAGCCTGGGTTGGTGGAGTGGCTAAAGGTGAAGGCCCTGAGTTCAAGCCCCAGTACTGCAAAAAAAAAAAAAAAAAAAAAAAAAAAAAAGTGTAACACTCTGAGGATATTTCTGAATATTTTTTTTAACTAGACTTTAGTTAATAAAATTATGCACACAAGATAGGCTTTAAATTTTTAAAACTGTACATAGTATATTGATGATAAAAATACAAATAAAAACTAAAGATTAAAAAAAACAAATGAAAGTAAACAAAATGTAATGTAAATGGGGCAAAATTAAATTTGAAATTGCAGAAGGAAACTGGTAAACAAATAGAAAAATACAGCCTGGCGCTGGTGGCTCACACCTATAATCCTACCTACTCAGGAGGCAGAGATCAGAAGGATCACGGTTCTACGCCAACCGGGGCAAATAGTTCTGTGAGACCCTGTCTCAAAAAACAAAAATAAAAAAAAACCCTTCACAAAAATAGGGCTGGTGGAGTGGTTCAAGGTGAAGGCTCTGAGTTCAATCCCCAGAACCACACACACACACAAAAAAAGAAGAAAAGAAAAATAAATAATTTACATACATCCTGGCAAAAATATCTAGGGAAAGAAGCATGTAGCTTAAAATACACATATTATTTTACAAACTAGAGTACACACCCAGACCTGGGTGCGGACACATGAAGAGGGTGCACTGAGTGCTCCAACCTGAGGTGTACTCATGGGAGGTAAAAACAGGGAAGGGGGAATTTAGGTTAAACATTCCTTTTTTCTTGCTGGCACTGGGGTTTGAACTCAGGGCTTTCCACTTGCTAGGCAGCCACTCCGCCAACCCAAGTTTATGGGTTTTAATAGAGCTTCCTCAGTTATCCTCACCAAAAATGGGACTAACTGATTTGAGCTAGCTTATGATAGTAAACACCAAGTTTAATATAATGGCCAAAAATGCAAAGCCTGCCTCAATTGAATTAGAGAAACCAAAATTAACTGAGTTGACTAAATTAGTTTTTTCACTTCAGCAATGTCAATGCTATGAAAGACAAAGACTGAGATGAAGCAATTAAGGGAGCAAAAAGACAAAATAATGAAATGCATTCAATACTAAAAGTGAAAAGTAGTATAATGCATATTTTTGCAAAATGGATATTTAACTAAGAACTAAAGATTACATAGTTTTCACGATTTTGATCATTATAGTGGGGTTACAGAAAAGAATGTCCTCATTGAGGATAAATCTGAGATATTAATTGAGGAAAAGACATGAAGCCTTCATCTAGTTTTCAAATGAAAGAAAAAATAGCAAAGTTTTTTTTTTTTTTTTTGAGGTAGAGTCTCAAGAACTATTTGCCTGGGATGGCTTCGAACCTAGATCCTCTTGATCTGTTTCTTGGATAGGTAGGATTGCAGGCGTGAGCTACCATTGTCTGAATCATACTCTGTATTTTATCTGAATACCTCCATATGGATGTACAAGCAAATGAAATGTGGAATCTTTGTTTAGAACTGTAAGAATTCACTGAAGGATTCCTATGCATGCAGCCACTGAGCTATGCCCCCAGTACTGCAGTTTTTAAATGTTATGATATATCTACATTAATAAAAACAAAACAATATTTTACTGAACTGAGGAGATGTAATATAGTAAAATCTTTTGAGAAATAATTTCACAAGGTGTTATTATATACCCATGTAGTAAATATTTTGCAGATTTTAATCTTGTGTGAACCTTAGGAAGGAAATAATACATATTTTCATTTACACTTTGTATTACAACATTTCTTTGAGAGATGGGGGAATGGCTCAAGTGGTAGAGTACCTGCATACTAATGGGGCCCCGACTTCAAATCCTAGCAATGGAGAGAGAGACTTATGAAGTTAGTATAGAAAATTCTTGGGGGGGACACTAACTTGAGCAAATGTAGAAAACAAATTTTGTTACTAAATAGTAAGACTCAATATTACATATTGTGGAGATCCCTTTTCAAGGAACAAAAAAGAGCTGGGGGCTGGTGGTTCATGCCTGTAACCCTAGCTACTCAGGAGGCAGAGATCAGGAGGATCGAGGTTTGGGCAAATATTTTGTGAAACCCTACCTCACAAAATGGAACTGGTGGAGTGGCTTAAGTGGTAGAGTGTCTGCCCAGCAAGCCTAGCAAGCATGAGGCCCTAAGTTTGAGCCTCAGTTCTGCCAAAAAAAAAAAAAAAGTCCTGGAATAATTAACAGATATCGTCCAGAACAAGATTTAGAAGGGCCAGGTATGGTGACAGGGGGATCAGTTGAGCCCAAGACTTAAATAAAGATCACCTGGGCTATATAGTAAGACCCCCTTCTCCAAACAAAGAAAGAAAAAAAGAAAGGCAAGTAGCTTTTAGTCAGATGGAAAAACTCTGTTTCATAAGAATAACGCAAATCAGTTATACTGATTAAATTTCTCTTTTAAATACATAAAAATAAACCTCAAATATGACAACATAGTCAAAGTGCAAAATGACACAATCTCTGCAAGGTTCTTGGAAGGACCTTTCTTTGTACTGAAATTCCTCCAGACTCTAGGGGTGAGTGAGTCAGGTATCAAGGCAAGAAGCAATAAAAATACACAGGGATTGGGTATGTATATGGGTGGTTGTGACTCAGTGGTAGAGCACATGCTCTACATTCACCTGCACAACCCTAACCAAAAAGAAGAAAAAAAGAATATTCTAGGTGAATATTGGAAAATGCCCCTAACATACAACAAAGTCAATCTCACTTGAGCAAAATGCATACTGCTGTTAGCTTCACAATAGTTAAAACCCTATTCTCCCACATAATAGACATAGTTGGTGGTTAGTTAATTATAATTCATAATTTACCATTATATAAAGAGATCTGAATGTCAAAGCAGTACAAAACAGATTGATTACGTGTCATTGAGGGTACATCTTCGGTCTGTTGGGTGGCCATTGTAGGACTTTAGACTCTGGGTGAGCTCCGTGTACAGTCGGTCAGCCATGGGCAGGGGGATGCCCTCCCACAACATGATAAGAATGATGATCACAGCTGTTTGACAGTGGTGGCCTGGACGCTCCCGGACCAAGCAGAGAACCTTTTCTTCCTTACTGCTTCTTCTTATAACCTGCAACAACAGAGTGCATGCACGTGTGCAAAGGAGGATCCTACATTTGAATGCAATGCATATGCCTTACAAAGCTCTCTATGAATATATTTTAGTTTGCTATTTCTAAAAAGTATTACTAGGGATCGAAGCCTATGGAAGCCAATGGAACATTCCACCATTTCACTAGGTGCCTCCACACATCACAAGACTATCAGAGCTTCCATGATGAACAAAAAATAGAACAGAACCCTGAGGTATGTTGTTATTGTAAAAGCAGCACAAAAGAACCTGTGTCTTAGTTCATTATTGATAGTTTGCACAGGGAAACCTGAGAACTCAGGAAAACTTAAGTAACTGCCCTGCTCTTCTACAAATATCACCACAGGACAAATGAGAGTGGACAAAAAGACCCAAAACTTATCCATGTGAGGAAGCTATAAAATTCCCCCTTTAGTGACACATTTTACCTTGTAGAATAATATAAAACACATTACAAGGAGAAATCACGTCTATTTTAATCAAACACTAAGGTGGTGTACCTGACTGGTAAATGCAAAGCACCATTTTGTCTTTGCTGGGTTTTTTTTGGTGGAGGTACTGGGGTTTGAACTCTGGGCATTGCACTAATTAGGCAGGTGCTCTACCACTTGAGCTACAGCCCCACCTGATCAATTTGTCTTACACAGCATCAATATCCACATTGCTAAAAGACCTTCACAAGGATTTTTATAGTTACTTTCTATTTCTACTGTTCATTGTTAAAACAATTAAAAAAAAATCCAAAAACTGTAAGTGTGAGCACTTAGAGCCTCCAGCTCTGTTCAAACTCCCCGCATAAATTAGATGCCTTAGTGCAGGTCTGTAATACAAGCTACTCTAGAGTAGCTGGGGCAGGGAGATTAGTTTGAGGCCACCCTGGGCAATAAGAGACTTTGTCTTAAAACAACCAACCAGCCCACCCTTCATAAATAAAAACTCTATACACAGCAGAGAGAATGAACAAGTACATTTTCAGGACATGATAATACTGCCCACTTTGAGGTATGTGTGGGGACAGTTGGGGGCAGGGGTCATAGCTCAATGGCAAAGCATATACTTGAGGCTACAACAGAACTCCTCTCCCCCAAACAGCCAACGTATGTGACCAAATTGGCTAATGGTAAATTGTCAAGGAATTAATATTCCAATTTTGTGATAACGAAAATGTTATATAAACTTTTCTTTTGGCAGTATTAGATTTTAACTGAAGGCATTAGGCTTGCAAAGCAGATGCTTTACAGCTTGAGCTTCAACTCCAGTCCTTTTCTTCCTTTTTTGAGGCAGGATTTCACCAAGTAGCCCAGACTGGCCTCAGTATGGTCCTCCCGCCTCAGACTCCTAATTGTTTCTAACCAATGTAAAAAAAAAAAAAAAAAAAAAAAAAAAAATCATTAGCTTCCACATTAATTTTCCAATTTACTTCAAGGTGACTGGAATTGGATTCTTAGGTCAAGTTACTCTCCTGCCTCAGCCTCCTGAGGCCAGCATCATTTGCATATGAAGATAAAAATTCCTGGTGGCTCATTCCTGTAATCCTAGCTACTCAAGAGACAGAGACCAATAGGCTGGCAAATAGAGACATCCATCACAAAAAAAAGGCCTGGTTAAAGAGTAGCTAAAGGGGTAAGAGCATCTGCCTAGAAAGCAGGAGGCCCTGAATTCAAACCCTACTGCTGCCAAAAATTACTAGCATGACTTATTTCTACCAGTCCAGATGGTGGACAATAACTCCTACCAGCTAATTCCTTGAGAACTGTACTTATGAACTTTTCCCTAAACATAATTATTCCTATTAACTTTTTCTATACTTATGTCCTTGACTACCAAATAACAAATTTCTTGAAAAACAACCTCAAGAACAAAATGGCATATCAAACAGAATTATACCAGTTGATGACTGATGCTCATCAACTTTTTGCATGAGAAATTTTTTGACATGGGTTCTCCCTTCCTCTGCTGCCCAAGCTGCTCAAACTCCTGAGCTCAAGCAATGCTTTTGCCTCAGTTGCCTGAGTACAGAGACTATAGGGTATACTACAATGCCTATCAAAGATGCTTTTTATTGATAATCATCACTAAACATTTCAAATTTCCTTCAGTAATGAATACAAATTAAGCATAATAGGAGGAGGTGGGTCTCCAAAATTCAGATCTGAGGTCAATAAGATGCTTAAGTAGAAAGCCTGTGTAAGTCATGGAGAGGCAGAGATGGGAAGGATGGAGGTTAAAGGAGAGAGCAGTGTTTTGCTTTGCTATGTGACTAATTGTGATTGCATATTCTTTTTCAAGTGCTTGTTCAATTGTTATTGCCAATTATCTATTTGTGAAAATGTTTTACCTGCTTGAAAATCATGAAGATGTTTCTTACTAAACCTCTCGTGTTTAGATCTACAATTTAACTCAAGTTGATGGTGTAAGTTGTATATCAAAACTCATTGGTTTTTCTATAAAGTTATGGAAACAGTTCAATTTATTGAAAAAGAGTACACTTGTATTACAAGTCACATTCTCTGTCTTTGTTGCTTTGCTTGTCATGTTTCCATATAAATGTTGGAATAACATGCTTTGATCAACTTCCTCACAAGTACAAACATACACCTCTGAAAGGGTTTTCTTTTGGATTGCACTCAATCTGGAGATCAATTTTGGGAAAACTGACAGCATTTAATAATGGCTATTCCATTAACATGCTATCCTTCTCCATTTCTTTAGCCTTTATTGCTTTAAATATTTTTATTTATTTTTTAGGTTGTACTGGGCTTTGATCTCAAGCCTCTTGCTTGCAAGGCAGGTGCTCTACTAACTTGAGCTTCACCCCCAGACTTTTCTTCAGTTATTTTTCTACTGGGTCTTCCATTTTTGCCCAGGGCGGGCTTCAGACAATGACTCTCTTAGCTATGGCCTCCAGCACAGAACTCAGTTTAGGAGGTCACATTTGTTAACTGAACAGTAAAAGCCATAAAACCTGGTGGAACTTACATTTTTAAAAAATTCACCTACTACAATTTACACTATTAATAAGATGGAAACTCACAAAACTCATCGAGTTTTAGAGCCAGGTGGATCACAAGTCCAAGGTCATCCTGGGCTACAGAGTGAGATCATATGTCAGCCCTACCAAAGAAAAGCCTAGGTTGAGCCCCAATTAATAGAAATCTTTTAGTCCTTTCCTAGAAAGGACCCTGGATGCCAGATCCCCTTCTTTCACCATGTAAACCAAAGGACTTTCTGTAAAAAATATGGTTAGCATTGGCCCCACAAAGGGACCCAGAATAAGAAAGGCAAGGATTCTCTGCATGCTCAAGGAATGACACATTATGATTCGAAGAAGCTACAATAGGCAGACAAGGCCAGTTTTCTAGAAGAAAGCCAAAACCACAAAGAAAAGGGTGCTGAGGGCTGAAAGTGTTAAACCTAATTGTTGACAAGCATTTTGAACTGGAAGGAGACAAGAAGAAAGGCCAAGTGAGCCAGTCCTAAGTTTGATGATTGTAGTTGAGCCTTTAATTTTGAGGGGAAAATATCATAGTGATAGAAGAATTACCTGTTAGAAAATAAAACTAGTGATTGTCACAAGAAAAGTATTTTGTTCTTTGCAGAAATAACAAACCTTCAGCTGGGCGCCGGTGGCTCATGCCTGTAATTGTAGCTACTCAAGAGACAGAAATCAGGAGGATCAAGGTTCAAAGTCAGCCTGGGTAAATGGTTTGCAAGACCCTATCTCGAAAATACCCATCACAAAAAGGGATGGGGGAGTGGCTCAAGATGAAGGGTCTGAGTTTAAGCCCTAGTACCACAAAAAATAAAAATAAGTAACAACTCTTCAAAATTCATGGGCAATGATTTCCCATGGGAATAGGATAGAATAATTAAATGATTAGTTCTATTGAATCCTAAATTGCTTTTGAATTGTGGCTTATACTAGATGCTTCCAGAAACTTTTATTTATTTTATCATTAGTAGGGCTCGGGATCAAACCCAGGGCCTCACGTATGCTAGGCACATGTTCTAACACTGAGCTATAACATTCCCAACCTTACCATCTACTATTCAAAATGGAGAGCCATAAGGTCTTCAAATCTTTCTGAATTTGGTTGCATCAAAGACCAGTAACCAGTTTGTCACAATGTCAACTAATATTTATGCGTTCTTTTTATGTGGTAACGGGAGTTGAACCCAGTGCCTCACACTTGCTAGGCAGGCTACTCAAGCCACTCCATCAGCCCAATATCTATGTATTTCATTTGGGTACTAGATACCTAAAAATTAACAAAATTAGGGCTGGGGATGACTAACTACCTGAAGGCTGTTTAATTAATAGGGACTCTTGTAGCCACTCAGACTTTCACTATAATTTATTGCTGTCTACAGTTTGATTTTAAGTAAGGCCAGATGTGGTAAAGCACACCTATAATTCCAGTATCATGGAGGCTGAGGCAGAAAGATAGAATTTGAGGTCATCCTGGGCTACACTAAAAAATAAATAAAAAAAAAAAAAAGTCTGTCACAAGTAAATGCAAAGAAGTGTCCCTGGGTTGGGGGCTGGTGGCTCAGGCCTGAATCCTAGCTATTTGGGAGGCAGAGACAAGGAGGATCACAGTGCAAAGCCAACCTCGAGCAAATAGTTCTTGAGACCCTATCTTGAAAAAACCCATCACAAAAAGGGCTGGTGGAGTGGCTCAAGGTGAAGGGTCTGAGTTCAAGCCCCAGTACTAAAGGAAAAAAAAGTGTCCCTGAGTTGGATGATGAACAAGGACAAAAATTTCTCACCCATGCAGGGTAAGACGTAAGAACCTCTAGAGCAACTCATCAACCAAAGGTACAGAGGCAAGGTACAGCAAAGAGAGAAAAAGGAAAACCAAAGTGGTGAAAAGGTACAATTGGTTAAGCTAAATGAAATTAAAGAAGATTTATAGGACCCGGGTACTTGTGCTTCAATGCCTGTAATCCTAGTTACTTGGGAGGCTGAGATCAGGAGG